GATACTGATCTGTATGTATCTCTTTTTGTTACGGATAACTTCCAATTTTCCCAGATACTTTGTACAAGCCTCAAGTTGCAATATTGAAGGATTCTATGGACAAAACACTGAATGATGCAGAAAGCATCAAAAGAAGAAGAAAAGAATACAGAGTTACTGTAACCCTCCCCCAAAAATCATTTTAAGAAGTAGCATTTGATCAAGAAAGAAGGGTATTTAAAAAAGAAGTAGAGGGCACAGAATAAGGCTCCAATGTTTAATCAAACTGATACTGTAACCCTGGACTCACTCACTTTTCATGCCAAAGACTTTGGAAGACAGCTACTTGGCCAACCCACAGGAAGAGATGCATATTTGTTATGATTCTAAAAAAAAAGTAACCCAACAGAATGAGGAGATTATCAGACATTAGCATTGAAATCACATGCAAAATAACTTTGCTGAAGATTATTAGATATTGGCTGTACTATCCATTCAGCAGGGGACATCCAGAGATTCAAGGTGTATTCAGAAGATGCTGTGGAATGAGGGCGCCAGGTATATCATGCTGTAGTCAGATGGATCTTGGCTAAAAGTAGAAAACATTAGAAAGGTGGTTTTGCTTGTGTTTTATTGACCATAGAAAAGGCATTCAGAAAAAGACATGAAAATATAACTTTTACTTAAGAATAGTTAACAGGTAGAGTTTAACAAGTAGATAAAATAAACAGATTGTTATAATAGTGTGGATATAGAAAATAGAAAAAGATACAATATAAAAAGAGGAATTGACAGTCAATTCCTTGCTAGAAATATCACCCTGTAATTTTAATGCCCCTGACTTCACTGACCATTGAGTTTCAGGACTTTGGTCATACTCTCCTTGATCCAAGGACTTGATCATGTCAGGACTTCTACAACTTTTAAGTTTCCTAAGACTGCTGATGCCTCTCTCGGATGAAGGACAGATTTATCATCACTGGCATTGTTACCAAAATTGAGACTTCTACACTGGTGAGCTCACCCATCAGTAAGTCTTTAAAAGAAGAGATTATGGACCTGAACTCTTGAAGTAGAGTCATAAAGCTCAACTGTGAACCTATTTAACTGCTCTTCAGGGCATTCATTATATGCTCAATGTGGTTAGAAATTACGTTTGTTTTGTTTGCTGATTTTCCTTGGATTACTGTTATTAAACACTGAATATATTTAAAAAAAGATAGGCATTCATTATGTGGATAATAATAAATTATAAATTATTCTAAATTATCCATAATAAATTATGGACATTGAGAAGATTTTAATTTCTAAAATACTAAATTGTGTTAATTTTTACTAAGCAGATCATTCAAGAAGCTGGACTTTATGAAGAAGAATGTGACCTCAGAATTGGAGGAAGACTCATCAACAGGCTGCATTATGCTCACTAAAACTGAGGAGAACTTGAAGCATTTGCTGCAGAAGATCAAGGACTGCAACCCTCAAGAAGGATTAAAGCTCAGTATCAAGAAAACAAAAATCCTCACCGTCAGGCCAATATGCAGCACCATGATAGATGTAGAACAGATTAAAATTATTAACAATTTCATCTTACTTGAATTTCCACTCAACATCCTTGGCACCAGCAGTAAGAAAATCAAAAGATGAGTTGCACTAGGAAAATCTATTGTCATGGTCTTCTCCAGAGCACTAAAGAGCAACAATGCTAGTCTAAACACTAAGGTGCATCTGATCCAAACCATGGTCTTCTCAATTGTTTGCTATGCATCTGAGAGCTGAATAATGACTAAGGATGACAGGAGAAAAAGCAGTGCATTGTGGTGCTGGAGAAGCGTTTTGAATACACCATGGACTTCCCAGAGAACAAACAGATCTGTTCTGGAGAAGAACAAACCAGCTTGCTCATTGGAGGTAAAGATTTTGAAACTCTGTCTCACATACTCTGGGCATGTTGTTAAGAAGGGCCAGTCCTTGGAGAAAGACAGCATACTTGGAAGGGTAGAGAGTCAGCACAAGAGAGGAAAACCCTGGGTGAGATGGACTGACACAGTGCCTATGATAGTGGAGTCAGGTGTGTTGGAGACGGTGAGGTTCGAAGACACTGTTCATAGGGTCACTATGAGTTGTAGTCAACTCTATGGGGCCTAACAACAACAGTGCAGGAATCTAGGAAACTCTGGTGGTCTAGTGATAAGAAGCTGCACTGCAATCTCAAAGGCATACAGTTCAAATCTACCAGCTGCTCCATGGCAGAAAGATGGGCAATCTCTCCTCCAACGTGATTTATTTGTCTTCTGAAAACCTGCTAGAGGGTCTGCTATGGGTTGGTTCTGACTTGATAGTACCCAGCGACAATGACAACAACAACAACAACATAAAAGGACCAGAAGTAGTTGTTCAAACAGAACATGGGGGAAAGTTGGGGGGGAAAAAAGCATGATTTTAAATCAAAAAAGAAATGGGTCAGGATTGTATCTGAGAAGCTGGACAATATAAGGAAGGATGTGGCATTTGGATTGGATAAAGACTCATCAATAACCTGGCTTATGCAGATCACACAATCCTGCTCATAGAAAGGGAAAAGGATTTGAAAATAACTGTGTTTAACCTTTTAAGAAACTGTCAAATTGTTTTCCAGTGTGGCTATACCATTTGATAGTCTCATCTGCAAAGTATTAGGGTCAAGTTTCTTCCTATTTTCCTCCAATATATTGTCTCTTTTCTTTATGATTGTAGCCATTCTATGTAGGTTCACACTAACGCTATGAACAACACATCAAGTCTATGCTCTATCCAGCATCAGCCTCACAATCTTAGCTATGCTCACACCTATTGTTGCAGTGCATCAATCCATTCCTCCCCCCACCCTGTTGTGTATCGTCCAACTGGCACAGGAGGAGATTGCCCCTCCTTCTCAAGTAGAGCATCTGGTGGATTCAAACCACACGCCTTTGGGACTGCAGTGCAGCTCCTTGCCACTAGGCCACCAGAGCTCCCTTCAATCCATCCTTTTTAATTAATTAATAAATAAATAAATAACATAAATAAATTATTATGTGTGTGTGTGTGTGTGTGTGTGTGTGTACCATCAAATTGGATCTGACTGGTACAGGAGAAGATTGTCCCTCCTTCTCCAGGGGATCATCTGGTGGATTCGAACCACACACCTCTGGGAGCAATCCATCCTTTTAAGGTCTGCATTAATTCACTCTCTATCATCCTTAGTAGTAGCCATTATCCAGCTCTCTGACACATGCACACAATTGTGAAGACTATGGCCTGGATCATGCGCACTTTAGTCTCCAGCCTGATGTCGTTGCTCTTCAGTACTCTTGAGAGGTCCCTGGCAGCTAACTTTCCCAATGCAATTCATCTCTTGATTTCCTGGCTGCTGGTACCAAGAGTGTTGATTGTGGAAGCAAGCAAATGAAAACTGTTAACAATCTCAATCTCTTCACCTTCTATCATGATGCTGCCAATCGGCGCTGTGGTGAGGATCTTTGTTTTCTTGATGTTGAGCTTCAATAGATATTGAAGGCAACAGTCCTTGACTTTCTGCAGCAAGTGCTTCAGGTCTTCCTCAGTGCAGGGTTGTGTAATCTTCATAATGCAGGTTGTTGATGAATCTTCCTCCAGTCCTGATGCAACATTCCTCCTTGCACAGCCCAGCGTCCAGGATGATCTGTTCTGCATACAGATTGACTGATTGTGGAACAGATCACCAATTACTCATATGCAAGTTCAAGCTGAAGTTGAAGAAAATAAAATAAAATCCACAGGAACCAAAATTTGACCTTAAGTCTATCCCACTCGAATTTCAAAACCTTCTCAGGAACAGGTTTGAGGCCTTGAACACCGATGAGCGTAGACCAAAAGAGCTGTGGAAGGATATCGAGAATATTGTCCAAGAAGAAGGCAAAAGATCATTACAAAGGCAAAAGAGGAAGAAAAGACCAAGATGGATGTCAGATGAGATTCTGAATATTGTATTAGAGAGCCGAGAAGCCAAAGCTAAAGGAAGAAATGAAAGAGCTGAACAGAGAATTTCAAAGGACAGCTTGGCATGACAAAGCAAGGTATTATAATGTAATTAATGTGTAAAAAGCTGGAGTCAGAAAATCAAAAGGGTCAAACTCGCTCAGCATTTCTTAAGCTGAAGAGATTGAAAAACAAATAGATAACAGACATTTATTAAGTTGGATGACAGGAAAAGCAATAGGTAGTAAGCAGTCGATCAGACATTGTACTTAATGAAATTGTGTTAATTATTACAATATTATAAAACAAAACGTGTATGAATGATTAAATGAAAGACCAATATGATTGATTAACTTTCACTCAAATCACAATAAGATAAATCTTAAAATTGAGGTTTTTGCTTCCTTATTACCTTACAAGAGTTTATGTGTTCTCCAGTATATGATTTGAATGTAATTTCTCCTAATCCTTGGCTTCTCTTTTCATTTTTTCAGTGAATGGGGAAACTGAGCAAAACAACAGTGCTTCAGAAAGATCTTTTTAAAAAATTTTCTAGTTTATTTACAAAATTCGAATACATTGTTCTGACAGCAACACACAGAATAAATAGAAAGGGAGAAAGAAATTCATTTTCCTCTGAGTGATAGAATATAGTGAGTAGGTTTAGGTCAATTTCCTAAATTTCTCCAGGAACCAAAGGGTTATATGTATTGAACCTTGTTTACAGTCTGGTTAATCAGTGAACCAGAATTGGGGAAACTAGCAATCTGGGCAAGTATGTTGGAAAAGTTTCCCTGGATTAGGAGTACAGAAATGGGGGAGGAGAAATAAGAGCTGTTCCAGGAGCTGCATAAATAATTTCCAGCTTTGAATGGGCCCGTTTTGAACTTTCTTTCCATGTGTTGCTACACTGATGTTCACTGGCAGGGAAAACTAGAAAAAACTGGTTCTCAGTTAGGCCCTTGGATTTTGACTGAAGAGGCCACGTTGTTTGGAGGGGAGGGGCCCACGTCAGTGGCTCCCTCTGAAAAGAGCCCAGCAAGATGTCTGGTCTGCGCTCAGTCTTCTGCCTCCTCCTTCTCTTCAACTTGGCTGCCCCGGTGACCTTTCGCCACCACCACTACGATGACCTCATGCGGACGCTGTACAAGGTGCACAACGAATGCCCCCACATCACCCGCGTTTACAGCATTGGCCGCAGTGTGGAAGGGAGACACCTCTATGTGCTGGAATTCAGCGACTATCCTGGAAACCACGAACCCTGTAAGTGCGGAGTGATACTGGGAGTGTGTGGTAAACCTTCCACCTCTTGGGAGGACCGTGGAATAGTCCACTAGTAAACCCATGCCTGCCCCTGCTCAGCTTGTGCTAAGGATTCCCTAATTAGTCTTCAAATTGCTCCTGCTTCGAGAAGGACCCTACCCTCAACCCCCTAAACCCAGTTCAGGCTCCAGTCATTCCTTTTTGAGCTATTTGTCTAAGATCTTAATGGTAAGAGGCAGAGCTTCTGTCATCTCCTTTCTCTACTACCAACCACCCCCACTTAACTCACCACTCCCAGGTAACCATTGTTCTCCCCACCTCTCCAATTTAACTACATTATTAACATATTGATCTGTATCCTTTAAAGTTCTTTCCATCCATATTTACATCCCTCCGTTCACACCTCCCATCCCCAGTTACACACAGGGACCGCTGGTGGCCCTAGTGGTAAGGAGTTGTACTGGCAACTCAAAGCTACATGGTTCGAATCCTCCAGCTGCTCCACTGGGAAAGATGAGTAATCTCTTCTGTGTGGTTTACTGCCTCTGAAAACTCACTGGAGGGTCAGCTGTGGGTCCATTCCCACTGAATGGACGACAATTCACGCACACATAGAGCACTGATTTTTATAAAAGTGAAATCAGACTATAATAAGAGTTTTCTCAATTAATCACATCCATGTCTGTACACCTAGATCCTCAGTGCCATTTTTGGGTTACATGCTAGTCTGTGGATATATTCAACCATTCCTTTCTTGATGAACATTTAAGCTGTTCCAGTCTTTCGCTACTTGAATTGTGGCATTCCACTTATATCAGTTTCTTCCTTCAAACATCCCAACCCAGACTCTGTCATTATGTATCTAAATAAGTGGTGACACCCCTGGCTAGTCTCTGTGTCTTTGCTCTCTGTGCTTTCCAGTCCATCTGGCATAAGACATAAGAGTAATTTTCTTAAATGCCACCATAATCTTCTTACCTCTGGCCTAAGCATTAACAGTGACAGTCTCACACCTAGTGAATGCTGGCCTGGCAGCTTCAGAGCATAACAGGAGGGCTCAGGGAAGTCTGGAGATGGGAGATGAGGGCCTTTGGTTGAAGTTGCATTTGCACAGCATGCTTCTGTTTTTACTTGGCTCACAAATTTATTGTGGAAGCTTTCTCCCCCTTTCCCCCCTCTCACTGACCCTTTTCTCAGAAACCCTAGAACTTTAGCTATTTATTCACTTACTCATTTTATTTATTCATCCTACCAACATGGAATGATCATCCCCTATATGCAAGTACTTTTATAGACTGCATAATCAGCAGCAGAGAGTAGATACACTGGCTCTGCTCTCGTGAGTCTTAATTTTAATGGGTTAAGACATAATAAATAAGTAAAGAGAAAAGGATCCTTGGTGATGCAAAGATTAAGCACTTGACTGCCAACCGAAAGTCAGGCAGTCTGAACCTACTCAGCTGCATTGCATAAGGAAGACCTAGTGATCGACATCTGTAATGATTTTGGCCCAGAAAACACTTTGGGGTCATTCTAGTCTATCATATGTGGGCACAGTGACTTGGAGTCTTCTCAACAGCACTCAGTGATAACAACCAAACATATCTATTAGATCTCACAGAAATAAGAGCTATGTCATTTGTTAAGGGACAGCAAGTTGACCTTGACTTACAGCTACCCTATCTACAACAGATCGAGCCTCATCCTGCACCATCCTCACAGTCTCCACTCTTAATTACACCCACTGTTGCAGTCACTGTATCAATATTGTGGGATTTCCTCTCTTGCTGACCTTCCACTTTTCCAAGCATCATATCTTTTTCTAAGGACTGACCCCTCCCAAATGGTATGCTATGAAGGCTCACGATCTTTACTTGTCTTTTTTTCTTTTTTAAAATTATTATTAATTTTTTTTACGTTTTTTTATTTATATTTTTTTTATGTGTGTACCATCAAACCGAATCTGACTGGTACAGGAGGCAATTGTTCCTCCTTCTTCAGCAGAACGTCTGGTGGATTTGAAAATTATTATTAATTTTAATGAAAGTTTACAGAAACTTTGGATTTCCATTCACTCATTGTTACACTTTTCTCCCTACCCATTCCTTCCCCCCACCAGTTCGCTCTTCTCTTTGAAAAGTAAAATTTTTTTCATTGTTATACAGTCCCTCATTGCAAGTCCACTCCACTATGCAGCCTTCATTCTAGACTCCTATCATGACAAAAATACCTAATCATATATCCCTTTTAAGCAGTTCTCTCCCTCATGTGTTTCAATGCAGTATACATTATTTATCCCCTTTCTCAGTCTCACCACAACCCCCATGTCAGTCCTGTTTTACAACAGAGGCACTATGCAGTATTTGTCCTTTTGTGACTGAGATATTTCACTCAGCATAATATCTTCCAGGGTCACCCATTTTGTATAATATTTCATGAGTTCTTTTTCAAAGCAGTGTAGTATTTCATTGTGTGAATATACCACAGCTTCTCTATCCATTCGTTTGTTGATGGGCACTTACATTGTTTCCAACTCTTTGCTATTGTGAACAAAGCTCTGATAAACATGAGTGTGCATACATCTGCTTGGGTGGCAGTTATGGTTTCTTTAGAGTATATTTCCAGTACTGGAATCGCTGGGTCAAATGGTATTTGTATTTGCAACTTTTTGAGAAAGCGCCATACTGGCTTTGACAGTGGTTGCAACATTCTACACTCCTACCAACAGTGAATAAGGGTTCCAGTTTCTCCACAACCTC